GAAGGTTTCTGGGGCCGTGTACAAAATAAATTTTACAGTAGTGATATGTCAGTGACAAGATCAGTTTTATGGCTAAAGACATTAATACAGTCCTTGCGACAATTTCAATCATCTACGCAGACTGTTAAAAATAACTGGGAACAAGATAGAGTAACGTTGGCAGTGAGAATAAACCCAAGAAACAGACCCTCGAATGGACGGAGGGAAAGGAGGGAAGATGGTGGCATGGGGGTGCCCTCGTGAAGGCTAGTCTGATTCATGGGAATATTCTCCTTGCCTTTGACGATCTCTCTCTTGGGAGGACCAAGGGCCAGGACAATGGCCTCCTCTTAGTAGGATCAGGATGGGACGGAGAGGGGAAAACGTTTGGTGAAGTGGCAGGGTTAAAAACAGGCGATCTTCTACATCTTTGCTTTAAAAGACTGGGTACTTGTGTACATTCCCGTATGACGGGGATATTCCTGGAAATCTTGTCCCGGTTACAGCACTGATGTTTATGCCAGCGTAGCCCTCGCTGGCCAAGCCCACACTTCTTACATTTTGGAACCCAGACAGGACCCTCCTCGTGGGAAGGTCTGCAGGACCCCTCAGAGGCCAGCTGCCTGAACCCAGAAAGACCCCGAGTTCTCAGTATGGAACCTGAAGAACTGAATTCCCTGTGAAAGTCACAGTTTGCCATCAGATCACCACTCCCCTCCCACCTCAGCTTTTATAATAAAAACTAACTTTATTATGCCCTCCCCAGATGAAACAGAACTTTATCCACACTCATTATCTCACGTAAGGACGTTAAGATTTAGTTTGATAGGTGGAGATGCTCAAAGACAATCCTCAAACAGAATCACCTCAAAAAATAAAACAGTGGCAAATCCATGGGGAGCAAAACATGATAACGTTTTTTGTTGATTCCTCTATCTTTTTTTTGGGGGGGGCTAACATAATGGTATAATATATAACATACTGTATAATATATTCCATAAGCGTGTGTGTTTAATACACTGTGACAAAGGGATATTGCCTAAGATAAAGGGAACAGTTATCACATGACAATCTCCAAACTACAATTATCTACAGGCAATAAGAATGTAAAGTGAGCACATGTATGTCGGCAATTAGTCTGACTGTCAATTTTATTTTGTGTAGGAGCTGATAACATCCATTCTTGGAATGTGATAAACTTTTTTTTTTTTTTACCATATTCTAAGAGGTATGTAATATCTTCATCTTTTTATGTAATGGATATTTTTATTATCTATCTCTATTGATGTATAGCTGATGTACAATATGCTGTAAGTTTCAGGTGTACAATATAGTGATTCACAATTTTGAAAGATAATATTCCATTTAAAGTTATAAAATATTGGCTATATACCCTGTGCTGTATAACATAGTCCCGGAGCTTATTGATTTTATACCTAATAGTTCGTACCTCTTAAGCCCCTATCCCTTTATCCTGCCCCTCCCCCTTCCCTCTCCCCACTGGGAACCACTAGTTTCTTCTCTGTATCTCTGTTTTGTTATATTCATTCGTTTTCACAACTGCATTTTTATGTGTTTCTGATTTGCATCTTCTTTTCCGTGTGTCCCTCTCTTGTTCCCAACCACATGTCCTAATTTATGTCCACTTAGTTTTTTCCTAATCTTGCTGCTTTTATCCTTTACAATTTTAACAGGGCAAAGCCAATCACTCATAACACACAGCACAGCTTTTCAGAAAGCTTAATCCAGAAACACCTAAGCAATTACTAACCTTAGGATATTAAGAATTTATATTAGATTCCATGGTGTTTTTTTTTTCTTCCAACACACCGAACTTAGAACAAAAATTTTTTTTCCCATTAACGTAAGAGACCAAAGACCAGCGAAGAGGAGCAGAGAAGACGTAACACCCTCAACCTCAAAGGGACAAAACTAAGATTACTGCCATTTCGGTGATTTTCATCTCCAAGACACATTACAATACAAAATCTTTATTTAAAAAAATCCACCTTTTTTCTGAAGATGCTGAGTGTGGGTACTTTCCAGAAGGTCTGGCATGAAGAGGACTAAATAATAAACAGGGAAAGGGTTTCCACAGTCGCAAAGGGCAAATTATCGTTTTACATTGCGGGAATGTGTTTTGAATATACTATAAATGCTAACACTTGGGCTTTTAAGACATTATGATGTGGCCGTATTATTAGCGTTTTTTGCAATTCCTTTAAGACTCAGGGACTCAGTATTCCAACTCAGCTCATACACTGTGCTCAAATGTTCATGTTGAATGATAGCCTTCAATCGAAAACACTGCTTGGACCAGAAAGGAAAAATGCCAGCTAGGAGTATGGAACGCTTCTTATCCGGGGTCGCAACTTCAGGTCTTAGCTTAGGGAAAGTGGCATACAAATGCAGTACGATGTGCTGAAATTCAAACTGCCAGGGCTTCCCTGGTGGCGCAGTGGTTGAGAGTCCGCCTGCCGATGCAGGGGACGCGGGTTCGTGCCCCGGTCCAGGAAGATCCCACGTGCCGCGGAGTGGCTGGGCCCGTGAGCCATGGCCGCTGAGCCTGCGCGTCCGGCGCCTGTGCTCCGCAACGGGAGAGGCCATAACGGTGAGAGGCCCGCATACCACAAAACAAAAAACAAAAAAAAACTGCCGAAGCCACCAAAAACACAGCATTTTGAAAATTGCATTTTATTCCCCAAACTGAGGAATAATGCATCGTGGTGTAAGTTACAAGCCTGAGGGTCATTTTGTGAATCCTAACATATGCAGATTCTATGAAAGGGGCCCTCATAATGAAAATAACAGATAACATTTCCATCGAAGTATGTTCTAAAGAATGTACCTTGTAGTTGCTTCATCTGAATCTCTTTATGCTCTTTCTAGTAATAGAAAAATACTGGGAGAGGAGGAACTTCCCTGGCGGTCCAGGGGTTAAGACTCCACGCTTCCACTGCAGGGGGCGAGGGTTGGATCCCTGGCTGGGGAACTAAGATCCTGCATGCCCCGTGGTGCAGCTAAAAAAAAAAAAAAAAAGTATTGGGAGTAGAGAGTTACTGAGGGAAGTCTTTGGTGCAGAGCGGTCAGGGGAGGCGTCTCTGAAAGTGTTACATTGCAAAGGAAGTGAAGAAGCAAGTCGTGCTTGTGGAAGGGAAAAGGAACGGAGACATCAAAGACAAACTTCCTGAGGTCTGCGTGTGATAGTGACGTTCTATGAGCTACAGAGAAGCACGTGAGAATGCGGAGGGAGCCCAGAAAGGACGGCTGGTGAGACGTGGGGAGCAATGAGCTCAGAGGTGGACAAAGTTCTTGTAGGACTTCTGAGGACTTGATTTCACCGTGAATGGGACACGAGTCATTGCACGGTTTCGAGAACAAGACAGGCTTGCCCTGACTTGGTCTAAAATGATCAGTCCATCCACAGACTAAGTGTCCATCAACAGAGAAATGGATAAAGAAGATGTGGTCCATGTATACGATGGAATACTACTCAGCCATGAAAAAGAATGAGGTAATGCCATTTGCAGCCACATGGACGGACCTAGAGATTATCATACTAAGTGAAGTAAGTCAGAAAGAGAAAGACAAATATCATATGATATCACTTATATGTGGAATCTTTTTAAAAATGATAAAAATGAACTTATTTACAAAACAGACTCACAGACTTAGAAAACAAGCTTATGCTTACCAAGGGGGAAAGGAGGGATTGTGAAGGGATAGACTGGGAGTTTGGGATCAACATATACACACTACCATGTTTAAGGCATATAACCAACAAGGACCTACTGTATAACACAGGGAAGTCTGCTCACTATTCTGTGATAACCTACGTGGGACAAGAATCTGAAAAAGAACAGATACTTGTATATGTATAACTGAATCACTTTGCTGTACACCTGAAACTAGACAACATTGTTAATCACCTTTCTCCAATGTAAACTAAAAAAAACAAAATTTAAAAGAGTGACAAGGATGAAAGAAAAACACCAGAAATGAGAATATTACAGTTGGCAATGTGAACTATAATTGGGGTATGGAATAAAAGGATAAAAGTGTGGTAGTTGGAAATGTTTAAGATTCCAGACACATTTTGAAAGGAGAACAAATAGAATACGTTGATCAACTGAATGTGCATTATATATTAAAAGGGCAGAAGAAATACTTTAAGATTTTTGGTCTCAGCAACTGTTAGCCCAGCAGGATAATTTTCATGTGTATATGAGAAATACCATGGATGGACCAGAATTGAGAATAAAGGAAGGACTTAAGAATTCATTTTTTTGTTTGTTTGTGAGGTTTTTTGTTGTTGTTGTTGTTGTTGTTTTGGTACGCGGGCCTCTCACTGTTGTAGCCTCTCCCGTTGCGGGGCACAGGCTCCGGATACGCAGGCCCAGCGGCCATGGCTCACGGGCCCAGCCGCTCCACGGCATGTGGGATCTTCCCGGGCCGGGACACGAACCCGTGTCCCCTGCATCGGCAGGTGGACTCTCAACCACTGCGCCACCAGGGAAGCCCAAGAATTCATTTTTTAACATGCGGAACTGGAGATGTCTGTAGGGTGTGTAAGGTTTGCCAAACTGGCAATAGGATATGTACGTTTAGACTTTTCTAAAGGTCTAGGACAAGCAAAGAATGAACTGAGGCTGGATAGAAACTTGGGAGTTACCAGGGATTAAAAGGTATTCAAACTGTAGAACAGCATGATATTAAATATGAAGTGAATGTATGAAACGATGAGTTCATCCTATGAATGAGCCCAGGAACCCTCCAAATTTTAGAGTTTGGGGAAAGCAGAAGGATTGCCAGAAGCGCTGGAAAAGGAGTCCAGAGGACGTCCAAAATAATAGCAACATCTTGGGGGCCATGCAGAGAAAATGGTCAACTACTTCGAATAGAGCTGATACACCAAGCACAATGGGGGCAAAAAATAACCACTGTACTTGTCAGCAGAAACAGTAGGAACCTGGATAAGGGTGTTCTTGGTGGAGTGGTCCCTCCTTTAAGAAGGAATGTCTGTGCTCCCTTCGGCAACACATATACCAAAATTGGAACAATACAGAGAAGATGAGCACAGCCCCTGCGCAAGGATGACACGCACATTCGTGAAGCGTTCCGTATTTTTATATGTATAACTGATTCACTTTGTTATAAAGCAGAAACTAACACACCACTGTAAAGCAATTATACTCCAAAAAAGATGTTTAAAAAAATAAATAAATAAAATGAAAAAAAGAAGGGAAATCTTATTGGGGTAGATTCCCAAAGAAGTTCAGGAGATGAACTTGATAGGGTGGGTACAGCTGAGCAGAGCTCTTTGGCAGTACTGAGGGATGGGGGTAAGCTCTGCAGAGTCCCAATTTTTTTTAAAGTGGTATATACTGCAGCACGTTCTATGTTGATGGAATGATGCTCTTGAGGAAACAGATCGTCAGTTGAGAAGCAGAGGACAGTGTATCCACGGAGCATTGCCCTTGTGTAGTTGAGAGAAGATAAAACCTAGTGTCCTGGGAGGTGGATCGAAAAAGAGCTTGCTGTGATTTATGTCAGAGTGTTCTGCTTATGTTTCCCTCTAAGAGTTCTATACTGTCCGGCTTTACATTTAGGTCTTTAATCCATTTTGAGTTTATTTTTGTGTATGGTGTTAGGGAGTGTTCTAATTTCATTCTTTTACATGTAGCTGCCCAGTTTTCCCAGCACCACTTATTGAAGAGGCTGTCTTTTCTCCACTGTATATTCTTGCCTCCTTGGCATAGATTAGGTGAGCACAGGTGCTTGTGTTTATTTCTGGGCTTTCTATCCTGTTCCATTGATCTATATTTCTGTTTTTGTGCCAGTACAATACTGTCTTGATTACTATAGCTTTGCAGTATAGTCTGAAGTCAGGGAGCCTGATTCCTCCAGCTCTGTTTTTCTTTCTTGAGATTGCTTTGGTTGTAAGGAGAGGATGGGTAAATTGGAAGACTGGATTGACACACAGACATTATATATAAAATAGATAACTTATAAGGACCTACTGTATAGCACAGGGAACTCTACTCAATATTCTGTAATGGCTTATATGGGAAAATAATCTAAAAAAGAATGGATACATGTATAACTGATTCACTTTGCTGTACACCTGAAACTAATACAACATTGTAAAGCAACTATACTCCAATAAAAATTTTTTTAAAAAAGAAAAACAACCTAGTATCCCAAGGGAGGGGGTGAGTTTCGAGAAGAAGAGTGGAGAAAAGATATCCACAGACAGAGACTAGACAAATCACACACAGTCTGCAAAGTCCTCCCTCCTTTTCTCTACTATGGTCACACAGGACATACTTTTCTCTCCTGCTCTGAACTACTGAGACATGTAGCAAGATGTCCACTAAGAGCATCCGGCCTTGGGTCCTGAGGGTCTAGAGTCCTAAAAAGAGGCTAGTCACACAGGTGCATACTGATGGACGACGTGCCATGATGCTGAGCCCAAATGCGGCTCCAGATACGTCCATCTTCATGTTTACATCAAGTCACGTTGTCTGTCTGCTTCCTCTAACCCACAGCCTTGGGTGTACAGAAAGACGTTGTGACCCAGTCACTCTGTGAACATTCGATTGGTCTTATTCTCCAAGTCTGACCGAGCTTCATCGTCATGGCTACAGAGATAAGTAAGAACTGAGTAAAACCTATGACTGAGCCACTCTATTAACACTTTCCTCAAGCCGGATCTATATAGATATAATAACATGGACACGTTCACTTGAAAACCTTTCCATTTTTCAGGAAAATGAAAAGCAAGTTCAGGGACTACCCTGGTGGTCCAGTGGTTAGGACCCCACGCTTTCACTGCAGGGGGTGCGAGTTTAATCCCTGGCCGGGGAACTAAGATCCTGTATGCCGTGCAGCAGCAAGGCCAAAAAAAAAGGCAAGTTCATCGGCTCACTGTGAGAAGGTGTTGGAGATTTGATCAGAAAGGAGAAATGAAAATGCAGTCTTGGCAGAACGAATTAACTAAGAGAAGAGAGGAGAACTCTGGGGAATGACTGCTGTTTCCTGTGAGAGTAGCTATCGTAATTTAAAGTTAGATCATTTGATATGTTGAGTGTTTTTTCTCCAGCACCCTCAGGTCGGGGTTAGGAAAAGCTAGTCCAAGCAGGATTGGGGCTTGCTAACTGTTAAGCTAGAAAGCGGAGGGATAAGCCAGTACGGGGGGGAAAAAGCAAGGATCACGTATCATGGAATCCAAACCGTATTAGGAGGCAGGGGAAGACCTTTGGGGGTAAATGCAGGACGTTTATATTTCATAGCACTTCATAGTTTCTATAGCTATCTCACATGCAGCCAACCACTTTCTAGCCATGGTCACCCAAAGAGACTTGTGGGACAAATATTTTATCCTCACCTTTCAGATGAAGGATCTTGGAGACCCCTTATTACAACGTGGTGCTCTAAAATTCAGGTCTGACTTTCCAACAGGGAAATGAAGAAAGAGATCAGGAAGCAGTGATGTTGGCATTTGAGTGAGCCCCTTTTTGGCATAACCTGGACGTCTTGCCATTTTCCTCCTTTGTGAGGAAGTAAATACATTCACAGTAAATCCCATACCATCATATGTAAAGTTCTATTAAGGAACCAATATCCATCATTTTGCTTAAGTATCAACTGTGCTTAATAGATGGTGGGGATAAAATGATAATTTTGAAAAGATACGTGCACCCCAATGTTCACTGCAGCACTATTTACAATAGCCAAGACATGGAAGCAACCTAAATGTCCATCAACAGATGAATGGATATAGAAGATGTGGTACATATATACAATGGAATATTACTCAGCCATAAAAACAAAGAACAAAATAATGCCATTTGCAGAAACATGGATGGACCTGGAGATTGTCATACTGAGTGAAGTAAGTCAGACACAGAGAGACAAGTATCCTATGATATCGCTTATAGGTGGAATCGTAAAAAATAAGGGTACAAATGAACTTACTTATAAAACAGAAGTACAGTCACGGATGTAGAAAACAAACTCATGGTTACCAGGGGGTAAGGGGGGGGGATAAATTGGGAGATTGTGATTAAGATAAACACACTACTATGTATAGATAACTATTTTAATAGTTAACTATAGATATTAACTATAGTTAAAACTATTTAAAACTATTTTAATAGTTAACTACAGATAATAGTTAACTATAATTAAAATAGATAACTATTTTAATAGATAATAGAACCTACTGTATACCACAGGGAACTCTACTCAATATTCTGTCGTGGCCTATATGGGAATAGAACCTAAAAAAGAGCAGATATATGTACATGTACGGCTGATTCACTCTGCTGTACACCTGAAACTAACATCACATTGTAAGTCAACTGTACTGCAATAAAAATTAAAACAAAAACAAAAAAACTGCTAAAAAAAACAATAGATGGTGGGTCCCTCTTGATAAATGTCTTACCCCTATGCAGGTAGGAGATTAATACATGACCAGAGAAAACACTGCCTTTTCCTGTTTTCAGCACACTCCCTAAAAGGATAGACTTATACTTCTACACTTCTGAAATGGCCGGATGGGCACCCTAACATTGCATTATTCATAAGCCAGGAGAGCTGGCTTCACCTCACTTCTGCTCAGAACGGTGCATGATACAGGAGGAACAGTCATGGGGCCCGCGGGTTTCCAGGGATTTCTTTGTACCAGGAATTGCCGCATTTTGGCCTGCATCACTTAATTTTAGTCTCCTAACAGATATACAGTGGACCCTTGAACAACACAGGGGAGTTAGGGGCGCCCAGCAATTGCCCAGTCAAAAATTTTCCTATGAACTTACAAAAACGTCAGACCTCCATATTCACGGTTCCACATCCACCACAGATTCAACCAACCACACAGATGGGGCAACACTGCGCGACGTAATTTTTTTTTTTTTCTTCAGTAGAGAAGGAATACAGTTCTATTGCTGAATGGGCTTTAAACCAGAATGTGACACACATCACAGGCAATCTACTAAGAGATTGCAAAGACAAAATGAAATCTCCCCCTTTTCTAAAGTCAAGCAGGTACAACCCGTTTCATACACATGTTCAAGATACACAACAACTAATCCCCAGGTGAGAGGACTTGGTAACACCACGTGTCACATAGTTCACCCTAAATTTTCCTGGTAATTGAGGTGACCATCTATGTTAGCCAACTGGCTTTATCCAGAGGAAAGACAAATTCTCATAGTCTACACCTTGGAGCTCAGGGCCCACTGAAGTTAGGCTCCTACCCTCCCACCAGCAAGAGGAAGATGTGGTGGTATATCCCCTTGACATTTCTATTTCAGAGAGATGGCTCCCAGGTCCTAGAGAAAGACACGCCTGTGTTACAAAGCGGGCACAAGGCCTACCTAGTTCTCAAAAAGGATTTATACGCATTTCAAAGGAGGAAGGAAAAAACCTACAATCACAGGTTTTCTTAATTCTTTCTTTTTTGGCCATTACTCTGTTAAAAATTTATTTTAAATGTAGATGTAAAAAATAAAGAGGAAAAACACCAGACAACACTTATGAACTAACATTCTCAGACAATCCTCCGTCCCAAATGCATGAAGATTTCTGGTGCACCTGGCATCATACAACACGTTTTACATTATAGGAGAAACTCTAGCTGTTTCGTATTTTAAGCTGTCAAACTAATTTCAATATACACAGTGGAAAATGTCTAGATGTTTGAGAGGTAATCATTTTTCATTATAAATTAATTTGTCCTTTATGATTTGAAATAAACATTTTACTTTGAACATTCAGAGGTTCTAAACTAGTACTTTTTTTTTTAATGATGGGAGGGAAATCTCTTCTCATTTTCCTTTTTCAATTTTTATTGGGGTATAGTTGATTAAAAATGTTGTATTAGTTTCTGCTGTACAGCAAAGTGAATCAGTTATACATATACATATATCCACTCTTTTTTAGATTCTTTTCCCATATAAGTCATTACAGAGTATTAAGTAGAGTTCCCTGTGCTATACAGTAGGTCCTTATTAGTTATTCATTTTATATATAGTAGTGTGTATATGTCAATCCCAATCTCCCAATGTATCCCTCCCCCCCCTTTACCCCCTGTAACCGAAAATTTGTTTTCTACATCTGTGG